TGTATGATATATGTTGGCGATAAGTCAAGAATATAGAACACACATATACAGGCTGTAAGACAGGCATAAAACAACTAGAAAAACACGAAAAAATTTATATAGCACCTGACGAGCCAGCGTAGGCATGAAAACTGTTGAAGAGACAGCAGCCGGAGGAAACAAGTAGCAGCGGAAAAGAAAAGTAACGAAAACACAGACAACACGTGGCAAAGACTGTCTCATACGTAAGGCAAAAAAATTATTTTGGACTATAGCGAGACGGAACAACGAGAACAGGTAATGGAAACAGAAACAGATGAAGGGACAACAGTGGCAGTAAACACAGTGAAAAGAAAACATGCAGAGAACATGTATGGCGGAAGGAAGATGCGTACGGCAAGGAACTGACTTACGGAAAGAACTGACCAATTGAAACTCAAAGAAAAATGTACCAAAAGAGGTTAAGACAAGCAAGATAGTACCAGAACGTACGTAGCAGCAAGACATTCAAATAAGTTTAAAATTTGAACGAAAGGAAGAATGAGATAGAACAAAAGCAAAATTACAGTTTATGAAGAAATACAGCGTGTGAAGAACAAAACATACATAACGAGATTGATATGTATATATATATAAGGAGAAATTGATACTCCTTCCGTTTTTGACAACTAATTTATGCTCACCATGTGTTTGTTTGTACTGCTACAAGTTTGTCGCATGAATGGCCAGGGTTCGACTGTGAACTGGGTACCTGCGCCAGTCCGCGGCAAGGGCGGCGATGAGACAGAGATTATCGCATGATGGAGGCGAAACGCACCAAGTACTTCCGGTAAACGGAATAGCCGGCGTTGTTGTGCAGTATTTGAGTATGCGGTAACGTTGATGATAATAAAATGTGAGGAGAGTAGTTTATCTACGAATCTACAGTCCCTAAATCTTTTTGATTCTAAAATTGGCTGGAGCCTTAGCGTTATTAGACGCGGTAGTTAGCTGATTTGACAACAGTCAGAACCATCAGTCAGTCTGAGACAAGGTTTCATTTGCTAGGGGTGCGATGACCTGCTCTCAGGATCTGTGATACCGGAATTCTTTACAGTCTTTCGGGCCAAGCGCTGAGTACTCTTCACGTACTCAGTCGTGCGCCACTAGTTGTCCAGTTTCTCTGGTCATAACTTCGAGAAAGTTCCAAATTTGCCAAACGAATAGATTGTAGTTGTTGGGATGTCGGTAGCGGGTACACTTCCATGATTTGCGGCATCTTTGTTTTTCGTTGAGACTATGGTAGATGGTGACCTTCGTCGCGATCTCCACTAGATGGAAAAACGATTTGTATTTTCGAAGGCAACATCCACAACTCGGTGACTATTTTACAGCGTAGACTCATTTCTCTTTCCCTTTGAAGTGTTACTCATTTATTTACCTCGAATGGATGACAGGAGAATTGTAGCCGCTTGAGGTCACACTCACTATCTTTCGAAATGTCCACGTAATCCCTTGTTGGCATTGAGTGAGTTAAAGTGACAAATGTAAATCAGAAGTTAGCCGTAAAAGGTTTTGTTCACAGAATTGAGCCAGCTCGTGAATCGCATAGCAACGATCAACATGCTGGCGGGGGGACATACAATCATAGATGGCTCAATCATGCTATCAATTATTAAAACAACCAAATAGTTGGGCATCGAAGAAAATGAAGGTAAAATCAATAACCGCCTCAGCTAGTAGCGTATCGATCGGTCGTTGGCAAAAGTGCTAGACCTGAACCTCCTCGTCGAGCTCATTGACGTTCTTGAGAATGATTGCCGCAACATGCAAGTAATATCCTTGCCGTTTGTTTACGTCATCTGCTGAGTGTATCGATCTGCCCATAAGATCGGCGTTCCTCCTCCTCACCAAAAGCCTCATGATTTCCTGGGCGATGCCTCAGGGAAAGAGTAGTAATCAGTTATAAAAATATTCAGTTAAAACATATAGCAACGTCACTGAATGACTAGGCTTGAAAATTTCATTTCGCCCGTGAATATTTAGATGAGAATCTGAGTTTTAACCACCTTCGAAATACTTTTTGATTTTGCGTCTGTTCAGCAGCGTTTTGGCCTGACCATAATGCCAACAGTACGACCATGAAATAATTCCACATGCACTGAAGGCCGATCTTCTAGCCTAGAGTTAGAAGGAAAAGTTGGATGTACACTTGTTAAATTAACATGCAAGGGCAATCGATGATGGTTAAAAAAATGTGTGAAGAAAAAGCAAAAGCAGAAGGAGAAGCGTGTAATCATCTCGGAACATTAACCAATGTATATCGAAAATTATTTGGCACCAGGAAGCAGATTTGTTAGCCAGATGCAGAGAGGAGACGCTGCATTCAATGAGTTGCAGGTAGTCAAATCCATTCCTGAATAGTCCGTCTAAACATCTAAGAGCAAGGAAGGGGGGTAGTTAATTAATTAACTAATTAATTGAAAACAGCCTAATCCTGTACAAAATGATATTAATGGGCTTTTACGAGCACATGAACAGAAATAATGCTCAGAAACCTGCAAATTTTTATTTATGGCGGCAGAGCTTCACGAGCTCAAAACGGTGCGCAGAACTTGACTACAATCCATTGGAAGAGCTGAGGTTAGCGTAATAGAATCCATCAGCATTTTGTCGTTGGAAAGTACACATTACCAGGAAAATACAAGGCAAACCCACTTTCGACTAGGTTCTCCTCAGTCACAATTGTTTTGGCTCATTGTGCCAAAGGATTGCAGTATTTGGTCGACTCGGCTGAACTTAGTTTGCGTTAATATTGTTTGGCCAAAGCTGGTGATGGAGTATTTCATCCATGTGCTTAAGATAGTCTAAAATGCAACAGATCCGAGGTTGGTTTGAAAGTTGTATAGAAATCAAGAAACAAGCAGAACAATGCGTATACGCCATAGTAATCTAAGTAAGGGATAGGATGAGGTTGTGAGCGATTTCGTCGAGTGATTTGAAGGCGATAAGTTGCATTACTCAAATGAACCTAGCGATGAATGTCCTTTATCGACATTCGAGCAAACAAATAAAGTCAATCACGTTGCATGAGTGTCACAGGTAATCAACAACGTGTAAAAGGAATCTACTATTTAACATTAGGCTAGGTTAAATAAGGCTATATGACCATGGAGATCGCCATCGCTACATACATACATACATACATACATACATACATACATACATACATACTCTGGGTAATGGATTTACCGCAGAGCTGGCATGATTTGGTTGAGTCTCAGACTGTAGCTTAAAATCAAACTACGACCGACGTGACTGAACCATTGGATGAACGCTTGGTGTGTGATCTGAGCTGAACGTCAGCGATGGCTCTCGAACTAGCTTCTTTGGTAGGTGCTTCTGACTCGGTGGCTATTGTGTCACCGAAAGCCATGGCGTTCTTCAGCCATGATCGATGCTGCCTGCCGCCATTGTGCAACGCGCTGACGGTCGACGCATGTATTTGTTCAGCGATGCTACGACAGCCATCGTCGACGACGATTGGCCGAACTGACGGAAATCAATAGATGGCCGTCCGCAAACACTATAAACGAGTAGGTGAACGCCGGCGCTTGGCATAGCCTTAATTCGAGGTAGTAACACACTGAGGAACGGTCATCGACGTAGCTGAAGCCGAACGGACGGACGGATGAAGACGACCAGGGCCACGACGATGCCACCGATGCGGTCAAATCTGCTGGCTGTCGCATGGGCGCTGTTCATCGTGGGCGGCTCGAACGCATCGCCCTCACCTGCCACCACCACCACTTCACTCCGCA